GTGCTTTTGAGCGTTTTATACGTTAATCTTTTTTTTTTTTTGGTTTATGTAGTTACTAATTGTTGCAATTATTGTGTTTAAAAAACATTGTTTTAGAATGAGAATTGCATTTGGCAAGATCTTCGTCAGCTTTTTCACCACAAAAAAAAAACAATACTGGTTACTTCAAACTTAAATTCTTCCTTTTCTCTTTAAAACAAACTTAAATAGAATTACGAAACTTTTTTCTAATTTATAAGGTGGTGGTAGTCAACTTCTGGTGATTAAATCATTTTATTTTAACGGATATATTACATCACTACACACATCAAAATTTCGCGAAGTAAAGATCAATAGCCAAGATTTTTTAAAGTCAATGTATATAAAATTTTTGCTTGTTACGCCTCTGTTGGTTCAAGCAAAAACAATTAGTATACGACAGTCATCAAACATTACCGAATCGGCAAGTTATTAAGTGCCAAAAACTTGGTGGTTGAATATTCAAACAGTCTGCTAGTTATATCTTCACTTTACAACTACAATCAGCAAACTTTCACTTGGAGATCATTACAGCTACTTTCTCCACAGTTCCGAATTCTAAGTCGAACCATATTATTATCGTTTCCATACTTGCAATCACTCCATTCTGTCCATGGTGCATAAATAATTTTTGCTACAAACACCTTATACTGTTTGAATGTGTCATTTGTGAGGACGACATTTGTGAACAGAATTTGAAAGCATCACAGAGTTTCTCTTTTTAAGAAAATACGTGTCCCTTTTTTTGTTATTTTCTGGAAAAAAGCGTTAACCTTTAGGTAACTGATGACTTACGGTGCTTCACTATCGGTGTACAGCCATTTCTAACCACAACGCTTTCTTCACCACCGTTTGTCAATATCTGTTGATTTGTCGTTATATTAGTGCTATGGAGGTGACATAAACCGCTTTTGTAAGTTACAGACTGTAAAAAAATTGATTTTTTGTATCTTCAGTTAAAGAGCGTTCGACTTTTTCACAAATGTGAAGGTATCTTAGTATTACACTAAATTTTATTCTGCTTTTTAAAACAAAATTTACCCAACAGTCTGCTGTATTAACATATGTTGCTACACATTGTGACAAGGTAGAAAATTTGAACGAATAATCAACAGTAGAGCTCAAAAGCTTTTCCCCAGGATAAACTTTGAAGAGGGGATCTGAAGGACAAGCGTTTCTGGCTTTTCCAACAACCGCAAAAAAATTTTAATTCTAAAAAAAATTCTATATTAGTTGTAATTTTGAAAGCTAACAAGCAAGTTTTTATTTTCTTACTTGAAATAAAAAACTTATTAAGAAAAATGCTGTTTTTGTTCTTATAAAGCCCTGCTTTACACAGCTTATTTTTAACCTTATTGCCCAGTAACCAACAGTCTCCAGTTTGCTGGTTGAAATTCATTGAGAGACACTTTTTATAACTGCCGTTTTGATCCTAAAAATGAGTAAAACTGCGATTGTTTATTTGACTGTAGCCCTGATAAGACAATTTATTCTTAATAGAGCTATTACTTCTTCGCATGCTCTGTATTTTGCATTTATTAAGCTCTCTATAGTGCGAAAAAAACATTCATGTGTTTTTTCAAAGCACTTTTAGCATTACCAAAATACAGTTTTAAAAATTTTAAATAAGTTTTTACAATGTTATAAGCACATTAAAGTATGTATGCTGCTTGATCAACTTAACGTAAATTGTAATTTATCTGTGTAGCTACACTGTATTCATCAAGTGCAAAATAACTCATAAGGTCTCTTTTCGAGCAAATTGCTGAAAAATTTTACTGAGTACTAAGTTATTCGTTACTTTCTGCAAACTTTTTTTTGTCTGAGTTTTACAACAAACATAAATCTTTAAGAAGTAAAATAAGTAAATAAATCAATATACAAATATATAAGTAAACAATTAAATAAATAAATAAATAAATACTTACAATGTGCACAGTTACGGTTGATAAACAATTCATTTGTATTTGGTTGTAAGCTTTTCCTGTTCTCATTTTTGGCTAGCTTTTATTGTAAGTTTTCAAAAATGTTTGAAAAGAGTGTTGTTGTTGTTGTTAACATTTTATTCAAATTTTGCTGAAAGTTTGGTTTGATTTCAAATTTAGGCTTATTATTTGAACCGCCTCCAGCTGTTTTTGTTGTATTACGTATTCTCTGAAACTGATATCCTCGTCGTGGTTCTGAAATGGTAGCAATAAGCAAGAACTAAATTCAAAAAAATGCTATTTTCAGTTAAGTTAGACTTAGCTCAAAAAGTAGTGCATAGTAGAAGCTTGGTTTGGAAAAAGTTAACGAAATAACTTGAACCAAACTGTGACGATCGGCGCAGAATCCTTTGTAGTTGGTTCTGTTGTAATGATCATGATTTGATGCTGAAACTATATGAGCTCCGCCAAAAGTTCCATTATGTCCATACAGCTGACATGTATTGTACTGTCTATGATAAACCACAGAAGCACATCTATCCTGATACAAAGAAACTTTATTGTTAGAAGTAAAAAGTTACAGTTAATTGCAGTTAAAAAATTATTTCGTTTTTAACGGCTTTTACAATGCAGTAATTCAGACACTCTTCAGCATCAACGCTTCATAGCTCGAAAACTGAAGATGCGTTGGATATGCCGTGTTGACGAGACAAAGAAAACACTGAGAAACTGTAAAAATAATGAAAATTTATGCAGTTCTTCTAAAACAGTGTAAATCTTTTACAGATTTACAAAACTAACTAATTTTTGAAGTTT